GAACCTTAGGCTTAGGGGCCTAGTGTGGGGATGGGACCCCCTCAGAATTGAGGAGGTCCCATCCCTCCTGATTTTTATCCAGAACATGTGGGTGTGGGACCAGCCTGTTCCATGTCTCCACCCCTCCTACCAGTCTTGATGTGGTTTCTTAATTCTGTAGTTGTAGGACTCCATTTAATTCAATTTCTGATGGTTCTGAATGATGATTGTTTTATGGTTTAGTTGTAATTTTGATGTGGTTGTATGAGGAGGTGAGTCGTGTTTACCTACACTTCCATCTTGACTGGAAGTCCCTCATTTCTTTTTTTGTAGTGAGAGAATTAAGATTTAGTCTCTTAGCAACTTTGAAGTTTACAACACAGTGTTGTTTACTATACTCACTATGTTGTACAGTAACTCTCCAGGACTTACTTATAAACTTTTATTGTGCTTAAACCACTATAAGTTGGAATATCTTATTTCATCTCTTTGTTCCCAACCTTCCATGAAAATTTATTTTAGGTATATTTCATTTAGATAGCATCTAGTTAGATTTTTAACCTGGCTTGAGAGTTTGTCTTTTAAAATAGGCATTTAACTTATTTATAGATAATATAATTACAGACAGACACATTTAGTTTATGCTTGCCACTTATTTTTTCCAACTTACTATGCTTTATTGTTTAAAATTTTCCTTTTCTTTTGTCAAATTTATAACTCCCCCCACTATTTTCTGTACTATTGTGTTTTTGGAATTATACATACTTTTTAGAGTGTTTTTTAAAATAATCACCTTTAAATTTATATTTTTCTTCAGTGCTTAATTATTGTATATTTATTAATCATGTACAAAACAAAAATCTTACCATATTTTTACTTCACATTTGTCATCCCACTATTTTATATATTAAGAAATAGATAGAAAACTGTACTTGAAAAATAGTTAAATAAAATTTAAAAGATATATATTAAAAAAAGATTATCTTGGATTTTAGTTCTAAATTTTTATTTTAATCTAAACATTTATTTTTAAATATGTTAGTGTGATTAGCTTCTTTGCTCAGTACTTTTTATCTGCCCTACCTTCCTCCTGGTCCTTTGTGTTCTCACCTGTAGTCTAGTGTAATCACATTACTTATTCACTTGCTCTTTTGCTGGGTGATGGGTAATGGGTGAAGATACAATTTTGCATCTCTGGAGTTTGGCCTGTAGTAGATAAATTGTAACTGTTCATTGAATGATTATAAGGCCCACTACCCCATGTCTGCCCTGTGCTTTGATCTGCCTTTCTGTGTTTCTACCTTACCTCATTCTTTTTGCCCTAGATTCTTATACTATATCAGAACCACAAAGATGTCTGTTTGTGGTACACCATTAAGACATCAGAATTGTCAGAAGCAGACAGAATATGGGGCTCAAGGAGCTCTGCTGAGAGGCGTCATGTTTGTTCTGCCCTTTGACCATCAGTCAGTTGCAGAAATTTATTTCCCTAGACATATATGTGTGGTGACAGAGTACTTTACAGAGCTGAGATTGTAGAGGAATAGGAACACTAATGAAGGAGCAGCAATACATTGAATATTTACTTGCCAGATGTGAGAATAGAACAAAAACACATCTCAGGGCTTAGATGTAGGAGGAATCTTCAGATGGTATATCTATTTATCTGGTCATATAATCTGAATATAAGACTAAAGGCAGGATCATTCCATATAGAATATTAATGGCCAACTTGTTCTGCTGTGATTTAATTGTCACTTAGAGGGAAAATGATTTTACCACATGGGGAGAATATTTTACAAAACTCTAGATGTCCTGGGAAGTTTACCCTGGGAAGTTTCATTTTTTTATTTTATCACTCTGAATACCACACTGAACTTTTTCTCTCTTTGTTTACACTGTTATTGGTCATCATCATGGGTCTCTAGTTGGCTCGGTTGTTGTTTGGCCAGGTAGTTCATTATTAATTTTCATTTTTATACTTCTCATTTCTTTAGTTCTGTTACTTATTATTTTTACTTTCTCTCCTCTCTGTGACTTAACTTCAGGCTTTGTTCACAAGGCTTAAGAGAGTTCTTTGAGCAATTCCTTTTGTTTTTCTTTTCTTTAGGTGGAAGGCACCTCCAAGGACCAAGAGCAATGTTGTCACAGGGCAAGATAAGTTAGGGTACTTATCTGGAACCCTGTGCTGCAGCAGGGATCCTACAGTCATGGGGTGGGAGAACCTACAATAAAGTGAATCCATCTAGTAGCAAGATGGTCCTGCCTACATTTCATTTTCCATCTTTCCTTCCCCTCGCCTTCCCAGGTACCTGTGAAATCTAGTAGAGGATACAGACCTAGTCAGGCATCTGGAGCCTCAAAGGGTAACCCTAACTTTCTGTTCCTAGTGATCATTAACATTTATGTTTTACCTTCATCACCAATGAGAAGAGACCCAGGAAAAAGACAGCTATGTTGAGACTTTTGGCAGGGTGCTGTAGGATAATATGGTATGTGTGTAAGAAATGCATTTTGCCATAGTCACAAGTTCAGATATGCAATTAATAGCCTGATAGTTGAATGAATTCTTGCCTTTCTCTATGGAATGCCCAATTCCTGAACTACGTAAAATATTCAAGCATTTTAAATGTACATTCACATGAGATTTCACTCAGAATAGGCCTTTATGAATATTCATGTTGGAGTATTTAGCCTTAGAGTGTAAAATATTAATCTGTTACCTGAGTTTTACATCTAATTCTTTTTCAATGACACAGAGAAAAATTAAATGTTACCTGCCACAAGGGGCATCATTAGGAAGACCTTTTTAGAATAAAACTCTGAAAGCTAAAACTTGCAGTCTCAATTGTGGGAGCGACCACTTTCGCGAGGTCCCCCCGGTGCCACGGACACACGTGAGTGAATAAATATGGCCAAGACAACATGAGATCTGTTTGGGGATGGAGGTGTGGGCTGTGGCCAGTTTCTCTGGGGAGAAAGAGGCCAGCAGCGGCCAGTTTCTCCGAGGAGAAAAAGGCCCTGAGCGCCTTTCTCCATAGCCTTTTATTGGGTTGTAATACACAGGAATACAGGGTGGCAAGGATCAAACAGTAGATAACATTACAGAGAGATCTGACTCAGTGTCTTTCAGGAAGAGAGTTGCAGAAACTTTGGGAGACATACTCATTTCCTCTTCCGACCCTTATCATATGAATGAAAGCACTTTTAACAAATTTCACAGGTTAATCAGCAAGTCTTTGTGGTGCCAGATTTTCCCCAGGGCACGCTCTAGCAAAGCAAGGAACTGCACCTCTCTCCAACAGGTATTCAGGCTTAAGGGGATTAGAGCCAGGAAGGGCTTCTCCCAGAGAACATGGGGACTCAGGCTTGACAAAGTGGTGGGGGGCGGGGGGAGGAGAGGGAAGAGTCCATTGCTCTCTGTTGCAGGCCCCTGAGTTCTTCCATGAAGGCCTCCCAGGTGATCGAGTCTGGCTTAGGTTGCTCCCCACTGTGAGGGGTCTTACCCATCATTGACTTCTGACCAAGCTCTGGGGGCAGGGAGAGGAACTGAGGCAGCATTTGCTACCAGAGACAGGCTTTGTCTCCTGCGGCTGGCATTCCAAAGGTCGTCTCTCGCCCTTAGCCACAAGGGGTAGAGATACAATTCCTAAAATCAGGCAGAGTAGTCTACTACACTCAATATTTTGCTGTCTCCCATCATGTGACAGGCAAAATTTATAAAGGCATTACCATTGTTTTTGTTCAGTGTTGACCTCCTATCTATCCAGATTTGACAAGCAAATATTAAAGATCATTTTTTATTGTAGTGAATATGAGCAATTCAAGTTTTTTTATATTAGGATTTGTTATGAAGAGTACATGTTTAGTGGTTACTATGCTTATCAATAGAAACTATAAGGACAGACTATGATGAATAATCAATGAAATTAAGTGCTCTAAATTGGACAGGAAAAATGAATAGCAATAGATAACATTTCCATTGTGGTGCATGTTTGTATTTTGTTTGTTGGTGCTCAGTTTGAGATTTCAGCTGGGTTTTTCTGAAAGAGCATATGAGGGATGGAGGGGAAAAGGTAGCTGAAGGGTAGTTTTTTTGCATTTTATTTTTTCTTATTATAAGAATAATCATTCATTGAAGAAAATATAAAAATAATAGATAATTAAAAATAAAATAAAATATACCTCTGAACTACCAAGAAAAATCACCACTGGCCCTGGCCAGATGGCTCAGTTGGGTGGAGTGTCATCTTCATACACCAAAAGGTTGCAAGTTTGATTCCCAGTCAGGGCACATACCTAAGTTTCAGGGCCCATCCTTTTTGGGGTATAGATAGGAGACAGCCGATGGATGTCTCTCTCTCTCTCACACACACACACGCACACTCTCTTCCTTTCTCTCTAAAATCAAGGTACATATCCTTGGATGAGGATTTTTTAAAAAATCACCACTGTGATTTCAGTTTTTCAGTTTAGTTTGCCTTTTATACTATACTACAAATTCAAATATGTATATTTTACAAAACCAGAGTCACACTGTATTATTTTATAATCTGCTGTATTTCAATAATTATTATGATTTTCTTGGCATCATTTTAAATAACATCCTATTAAATGAATTAAAATTAATGTAAATAATTAGGAATTTTGATATTTAGGTAGTTTCCAATTTTATGTTATTATAAATGGTATTTTAGTGAACCTCCTGAAAGCTATTTTTTTGCTTAAATCTATTGCTATATTGTTAGTTTTAGGATATCCTAAAAATGGAATTGCTTGATCAAATAGTATGCACATTTTGGTGCTTTATATATATATTGTTAAGTTACTTTCCAGAAAGTATGTATCAGTTTAGGCTTCCATACCTTCCTGAAAGCCTATCATGATCATTTAAACAGGTATATTTGCTAATTTTTTAGGGAAAAATCAGTAACTTACTGTTTGATATTTTAATTGATTTGAAATTTGCTTTTAGTTGATATGAAGCATATATTTTTTAAAGGTAACTTCTTGAAGAATAAAAGTACAAAAGAAGATCTCCCTCTCCTTTTCTGTTGCAAGGATTCCTTCAAAAGAAACAATGACTTCGGCCATTTTGTGAAGAGGCAAAGGCTGAGCAGTTGTGGCCCCGTTTCTGACCTCCATCAGCAGTCATCTGTTCCACCTAGTACCGGGGAGTAGGAGATTCAGAATCAAATCTCTTCTCCCTTCGACCTCCGGGTTACAAATTTCTTGAAACATAAGTCAGTGGAACTTTGCTTGAGTGAGAATTTTTTTGATCTTCAGCTACATTTCAGCTTTGTGAGGAACCTTATCATCAAAGACAATGGCCAGCAATGTTACCAACAAGACAGATCCTCGCTCCATGAAGTCTCGTGTATTCATTGGGAATCTCAACACTCTTGTGGTCAAGAAATCTGATGTGGAGGCTATCTTCTCAAAATATGGTGAAATTGTGGGTTGCTCTGTTCATAAGGGCTTCGCCTTTGTTCAATATGTTAATGAGAGAAATGCCCGGGCTGCAGTGGCAGGAGAGGATGGCAGAATGATTGCTGGCCAGGTTTTAGATATTAATCTGATTACAGAGCCAAAAGTGAAGCGAGGAAAAGCAGGTGTGAAACGATCTGCAGCGGAGATCTATGGGTCAGTACCAGAACACCCTTCTCTGTCCCCTCTATGCAGCTCCTCTTTTGACTTGGACTATGACTTTCAGCGGGATTATAATGATAGAATGTACAGTTACCCAGCACGTGTTCCTCCTCCTCCTCCTCCTCCTCTTCCTCCCCCTCCTTCTCCTCCTCGGGCTGTAGTGCCCTCGAAACGCCAGTGTGTATCAGGAAACACCTCACGAAGGGGCAAAAGTGGCTTCGATTCTAAGAGTGGACAGCGAGGGTCTTCTTCCAAGTCTGGAAAGTTGAGAGGAGATGATCTTCAGGCAGTTAAGAAGAAATTGACCCAGATAAAACAAAAAGTGGATTCTCTACTGAAAAGCCTGAAAAAAATTGAGAAGAAGCAGAGCAAACAAGGAGTAGAGACGAAGAACAGTAAGTCAGAAGAGGAGCAGAGCAGCAGTTCCCTGAAGAGAGATGAGACTAATGTGAAGATGGAGTCTGAGGGGGGTGCAGATGACTCTGCTGAGGAGGGGGACCTACTGGATGATGATGCTAATGAAGAGTGGGAGATGGCCAGCTGCGTTGATCAAGGATGATGAAGAAGAGGCTGAGGAAGGAGAGGATGACTCTTAAGCACATAGTGGGGTTTAGAAATCTTGTCCCATTATTTCTTTACCTAGGCTCTTGTCTAAGACCAAAATTTTTACCAGATCCTCTCCCCTAGTATCTTCAGCACATGCTCACTGTTCTCTCCATCCTTGTTCCTTCCATGTTCATTAATTCATATTGCCCTGTGCCTAGTCCCATTTTCACTTCCTTTGATGCTCCTAGTAGTTAAGTCTTACCCTGTAATTTTTGCTTTTAATTTTGATACCTCTTTATGACAACAATAAAAAGGATGTATGGTTTTTATCAACTGTCTCCAAAATAATCTCTTGTTATGCAGGGAGTACAGTTCTTTTCATTCATGTATGAGTTCAGTAGTTGCTTCCCTAACTGCAAAGGCAATCTCATTAGTTGAGTAGCACCCTGAGAGCAGCTTTGAGTTAGAGGTGTATGTGTTAACCCCATGTATGTAGCATACGTGGGGCTCTTCAACACAAATGTAATGATGTATTTTTGTGAATGAGAGTTAGCATGTCAAATGCATCCTCTAGGAAAATAATTAGTGTAGTAGTCTTAAGATTTGTTTTCTAAAGTTGATACTGTGGGTTATTTTTGTGAACAGCCTGATGTTTGAGACCTTTTTTAATGTTTTATTTTCTTTTTTAAAATGTATTTAATTATGCCATTAGAGTTGTTCTATTTCCCCCCTTCATTCCCCTCCACCTTGCACACCCCCTCCCCCACCATTCCCCCCCTTTAGTTTATGACCACATTTCTCAAGTTCTTTAAGTTTGGGACCTTTTTATTTCACAATAAACACATCCTTATTAAGCCAGGAATTTGGAGAGAGAAAAAAACCTGTTTTTAAAATTTTTGTATTTTATAATTATTTATTTCAAATTCTTTTGTTTCACTGTGGCCTCCACAAAACCCCTAGAATGTGTATTTTTTTTGAGTCTTAGTCACTATTATATATACCAACACACACTGCTCAAATTATACTTCATTGGGATGGGTGTTGTATTAAGGAGACAAGAAACTTGGGTGTGGAGTGGAGAGTCTTGCAAAATTGCTTTTATGTCCTAATGGAAAAAGTTGGGAGATACATTAAGCCTTTTCATCAATGCTTTGTGGTCTAGTTGGTGCCCTTTTTGAGATTTTTGTTGTGTGCTAAATTGTTTCATCCTTAAATAGACAAGGTTCAAACATGTTAAGATTTTAGGGAAATTGAAATAACTGGAGAACAAAACTTATTTTCTTCCAAAAAAAAGAAACAATGACTTCATGTCAAGGATTATTAATAATTTCATAGCTGTGGAAATCATTGCATTGGTAGGATCAGGAATATGGTAGAATTATCTTTCTCCTGAGACATGAATCTTTTTCCAAACCTCTTTATTATAATTAAATTGATTGTGATGAAATTTTACCTATACATAATTAAGCAAATTTACATTAAAACTATTCATGAGTTTGTAGATTGATACTATACTATGAGTCTAATGACTTCAATAGTCTGATTTGGGGTCAAAATTAAGAATTGAATAGGTGGCCTTGGATAGAGGATAATCAAGAATAAATTGACTACTTTGATCTTTTTGGTTTAATCACAGGTGTAAAGAAGGTCAGTCTTCTAATTAATCAATATTTGTATTCTTCTAGAATAATTGCAATTATAATAAAAATGTTTGGACTGGGATATTCACTGACAAGAGTTCATCAACATATGCATGGATGATGTACTGGCACAATTTTGAATTCTGTTAAAAGGTTATATCTACTTATTTTGGCAGCATTGTTGGAAGATCACCTTGGGTATTGGTAATTCCAATGAGAAATTCTAGCCTAGAGGTATCCTGTTGGTGTCTACTTATTTAAAGTGCCACTAGAAGTCTGTTGTCATTTGCATTCCTGAGATCATGGGATGTATTTGTAAAAAACCTGATATTATCCAATTTTTTTTATCACTGTAGATCTGAGGCTGATTGTGATTGGTTAGGAGAATCATTGTTTCTGTAACCCCCTACTTGCCTATTGCAATCTTTTTTGTGTTTCCCCTGTCCCAAGCACATTATTGCCAGATTAACTATACTGAAGAATATGAATTTGCCAAATTATGGATAGGTTATTCCTTATTGTATCAAAATCCTGTTTGGAATCTTGAGTGGCTGCCTTTACATGTGGAGTTACAAAGCAATCATTTATCTGCCAATCAAAGCCCATTGTAGTAATGGCCTTTCCTGTTTCATCATTGATGGTTCAGCTATAGTGTTTTGAACTCAGAATAGAACTCTTGCTTTCCTACCTTCTTGCCTTTTAAAAAAGCCCTGTCTCTCAGGTTGGAGTATGCTTTCCCTTCATTTGCACAGATAATCTTGGAATATAAAGATTGGGAAAGACTTTCAACGTTTCATGCTATCTGATTTTCAAGACCCAGAACATATATTCCTGTTCCTGTCTTCTAGATGAAATGATTTATTTCTCTGATTTCCTGTGTGCTTTGTTCATACTCCTTTAAAGACAACATTGGTCACATTCTGCCTTATTTTATAGTTGTTTATGCATTTGTCATATTCTTACAGGTAAAAAATTGTTTGGGATCAGGGTCTGCATTTTATTTTTTATTTTGAAATTCCTTGTACTACCTAGTACAGTGCTGGGCATACATTTGATTAACAATAAATGCTTAAATTAAGATGTATTGAGAAATTATTGGCATTATTATTATTAATGTGATCTTGTGGATAGTTAATTATCAGAGATGATAAATTTTGATAGTATACAGAACCTGCAGTTTTTGCACATGGACACAAAGACAGTAACTCTGCTGAGTTCCTATTAAGGCAGTTTGAAAACAAAATTTTTAAAACACAGTTTGGAGGGAAAATTACCACTTTTATAAAGTAGCTTTTAAGGCTGATCTGAGGAAAGCCAGTGAATATAAAGTATGTGAATTTTCCGTTTGCCCAATTTCTTGATTCTGTCAATGCCATGTCCCATTCTTCCCATGGGATTTAAATCTTGGGCATTTTTTTGGTTCTCTTTCCTATAGTCAACAATCACTGTACTTAATTTATCTGTTTAGACAACAGCTTGTGGATTCATTGTCTTGCCTATAGCTCAGCCTGAATCACTTTAACAACCCATCAAACTGCCTCCCTTCCTTGTGCAGACATCCCCATTTTCAGGGTACTGGAAACACTCTCTTCAGAATTATCTGCAGAAATGTCATCATTAAACCCCTACCCAGATATCATTTGTGGCTTTGTGATGATGAAATCTAGACTCAAGCTTTGCAGTCCATGCAAATCTGGTCCATTCTACCTGTGTAACCTAATTTGCCTTCTTTTGCTACAGGCACTTTTATTTAGAGAAATGTGTCTTGGAGGTCATTCAAATCCAGCATACTTAGTATTTTTATAAACTATTCCCAGCTTGTGTACATGGAGCAAGTTTTTCTCCTTCTTCTCTCTCTGTAAACTTTTCCTCTGGCAAGTTCTTATTTTTTGCCCAGGAATTCCCTGATGCTCCAGCCTTTCATCTCTGGCCCACTTATTATCATTTATCTTGCCCATTTGGGCCTTGTGGTCCAACTGTTGCATATACCTTTCCTTCCCAAATAGACTGAGCTGTTGCACACAGTTGGTGCTTTGGTAAATATCTCATGAATCAAGATTTGTGTTTTTTCTGTATGTGTGTGTTGCCCTGGTGCTTAGCACCATGCTAGGGAATGCTCAGGAAACATCTGAGTGTTTGTAACTTCAGAAAGAGTTCTATCTACAGCAGATCAGCCTTTCAGAAGTTTTAAGACAATGCCAAGACAATTTGATCTATTATAATGAATTTTTCTTTTCCTGGCCCCAAGTTATAAAACCCATAAAAACCCCCCAAACTTCTGGATTTTACTGAAGCATCTTTCACTTGATTAAAATACAAGGTAAAATAAAATGAAATTTAGCATCTTCTGTGTGGTCAGGGTAGACTTGTATCTAAATCATAGCTTACTTTTGCCATTAGTTGGAGTAGGGCACTGAATGTAGGGCTCAGGGCCGGCTGCTCCTGTCTCCTGTGTCTGTTTAAAACAGTCACTTCAATTAAAAAAAAAGATTACAGTCTTTTTAAAAAAACAACTTAAGATGGGACTTCTTTGGCTTTGCAGGAGTTGGCTGATGAGATGTGTGTATTCTTTGTCCCAGGCTGGTTTTGCTCAGATGAAAAGTGTAATGGCAGCTCCCATTGAGAGATGACAACCCATTCTCTGAGTGGAAAGATGGAGATAGAACTAGAGTTTTTGATGGCCACTTTAAAAACTCTCTCTCTCTCCCTTCCTACTTGTTTAAAATATTTATTTATACATCTAACTATTATTAAAAACTGACTATTACAGTTTTCCCTTGCCGCGGATTAGATGGTTTCTTGCAGCAAAACACCTAATTTAACTCTACTTTGTTATTCAGATTTTGTTTTATTTTGGTACATTATTTAATAGCTAGTAAAGTTCTGTGAACATTAGGTGATCCAACCATGACAGCAAATCACATAAACCATGGGAAAAGTCAACTGCAAGTTTTAAACACTATCATCATACTTATATTGACAGAGAACTCTGTATTTTCTCCACAAGAGGGCAGGAAAGCCTGGGCTGTAAATAAAATTTTTCTAAAAAAAAAAGTCTATGGGAAAAATTGCTTTACCTTCCATACATACTTTTTAAAATACATGGCTGGGCAAACATAGGTTTACAGTTGTTTGTATGGAAAAAGACATGCAGGTTATTGCAACAGCTTCATGAACTGTGCGTTTTGCTTACTTAAAACTATTAACCTACTTTTGCCTAGCCCTATATAAAAATTTTCTCCTTCAGAAAAAGTTCCATGAGTGGGTACTTTTGAATGTTTTTCTTATTTTCTGGGCAGTTACTTTTCAGCTTTTCTCATCACTTTTTCTTCCTCTGGATTTTAATCATAGGTTCTAATTGCCAGATTTAGTGTTGTTGGGCTAGTGGTACAGTGACCAAGATAGCACACTTTCATCAACTCATGATTTTAGATCCTTAATACATACATGGGGAAGGGAAAAGACCAACATTTCACTAGCTGTTTCTGCCAAGGAAAAAACACCTGTGTCAAAGGAAAACAAAACTCATGTAATAGTTTTGAGGCCAGTCCTGATCATCCATACACATTCATACATTCTCCTTCTCATACTAGGTTTCATTCTTCACTGCTTCTCACCAGCTCCCACTCCTGCACTGCTTTTGTCCTTTTTGTTCTTCAAGATTTAAATTACAGGCCATGCTACAAAACCCATCTAAATCTGTGATATCAAAAACTGAATGCTTCTAACAATCACAACACAACAGGGTTGGCTTGACATGTTAGTCTCACTGTGCTGAAATAAAAACAGGATAGGCTGTGAAGGAGGAGTTATTTGACAAATTCAGTTTATTTTCATAAAAATAAGTTGGGGAAATATTTGCAGGATTCAGATTTGGGGGTTGAATGCTCCTTGAATACCCAGTGCCAACTGAACTAACTTTCTCTTTCTTTTCCTTCCTTCCTTCCTTCCTTCCTTCCTTCCTTCCTTCCTTCCTTCCTTCCTTCCTTCCTTCCTTCCTTCCTTCCTTC